AGAGTATGAATATACCTGAACACTACTGCTGAAAGCCATAACAAGTTGATTTTTATTCACATTTAAATTAAAGATTAAAGAAAGTTTTTCGAAAAAATTAAGAAGTTACATTTGGATAGTCTTGGGTCTAGTCTCTATAAAACATAATTTAGCTTATTACTATCTAAGGTCTTGCTTACCAATGCTAAAAGTAAAGTGTTTATCGGATGTTTCCAAAGAAGAGTGTCGTATAGTGCGGCACCAACTTCGACAAGAGGATGCAGAAAACTATCTGAAATTGTACGGTACAATCATAGTCGAAACCCTTTCATCCCGCTAACTCACAGCATCGTTTTAGATCCCTCCGCAGAGCAACTGCCGACAATTTCTGATTTTCAGCTATTGTCATCTTTGGTTGTTCATACTGATTGTCGAATGCTTCGGCGATATCAGTAAAAAAACTTTTCGCTTCGTTGGATAATCGGCTCCACAACGATTCCTTTGCCTCGCTTTCTAAACACTGTTTTAGAGCTTTGCTAGTGCGCAGCATAAAGCCAAAAAGCGGGTTTCGTGGAAAGCGCGATAAAAGAGTCTCTTGTCGGAGTAAAAAACTTGGAAAGTAGAATCTTATTGTAAAAGAGCCTCAGCTAAAAGGAGATAGAAGCCTTTCCAACAACAATACAATGATTTGATTGTTTTTCGTCTCATAGGTGAAAAGACTTAAAACGAACTAAACTGCATGAATGGAAGAATTATAGAATTTTGAACACTGAACTTCGATGCATAGCTGAATTCTTGGTGTTCTTGGGATGCTTAAGCCATTTATGACGAAATTCAATTGCGGGAGAAAAAGGAGAGCATTTTTTCTAAGGAGAAAGTTGAATTTTTAAACTGTTTCTGATCAGATTTCATTTAATTAATGTATAAAAGCCGATTATTGGGCTCTAAATTACTACCTGACCCAGCAAATTCTTGTTCTTTTGACTACTTCATGAATGCTAATTCCTTTGTCCTTGGTTTTTCACTTTTACTCATAATCACCTTTTTGTAAATTGAAAGTCATTTTGGATTACGCACAACGCCTTCTGAGCAGGATAAAGAATTTTTCTGAAAACTGTTTGTTTGACGAATTAAGGGATGACAAGACAATCACACTAAACTCTGTAGATTAGAGAAATATTGCAGAAAAATTGGTTCAGAGAAGTTTTCTGCAATAGTTTAGTCAATAGTCTTTTCTAGTGTCTAAATTTTTCATAATTTTCTTCTTTTTGCTAGTTAACAATACCGGCATGCTGCTGCAAAAGTTTTGCGCAATTTTAACTGCTCATCACTTCAGCTTAAGAAATTCTAAGAGGGTTTACTGTAGATTCTAAAAGGCTGCCTGCACTAGCATTCTATGCACTATACTCATTAACAAATATTGAGTTCATAACAAATAAAGGTCTGAAGTTTCTCGTCTGCAATGACCACGAAATTTCAGCGCCAAAATCGCAGTAGATAATACCAGCAATGTTTGTTAAGCACTCCCTTTATCTAATGCATGGTCAGTCGTCGGTGCAGCTACATTGTCAAAGAGATGCAGAGATTATTCTTTTTGCGTGTTAAGAATCGAATACAATCGTCCAATATGAAATGATTATCTGAGTCACAACTGTGACCGCTTCTATTCAATTAGAAGGTATTTTTCATGCAAGATTTTTTGCTTTGCAATCTAAACCCGCAAATGACGTATGAGCGAAACTTGTCCTTCACCGCTCAAAGTTGATTTGCGGCGAACAACGAGCGGAGTGCGGATGGACGATGAAAGGATTGAAGGATAAACATGTTTCTTCATCATTATTAGCTTCGCAAGGCTGTTTTTTTTTTGTCCTCACTCACTGTTTTATTTCTAGGCGCAAGAGATGACACGTGAGGTGCTGACTTTAAGGAATTCCTGACATTTACCACATTTCTTCCAATAAGTGCAGCCTTTTTATTAAGTATTAAAAAAACAAACATGTAAGCTAAACTTCTGAAAGGTTTTGCTTGTTATGTGATGTCAAAGTTTGGAAAGAGAAAAGAAAAGAAAAAAAACTCCATATTTTAAAACTATTTCCAATAGAAGAAGTTGAAGATAACTCAAGCACAAAGTGATGACCAAGAGTTTGTTGTTCTAGTTTGTTGTGGTTCTTCCACTTATTTATCACTCCATCACTATTCCAGAAGGTTTTCGCTATCAGAAATTCAACAGTACATCTGTCAATGGAGCTTTCGTCAGTTTCACACTCTTTTGCCTTCGACACTCAAGATTTAGAAAAACATTTAATGTTAGAGTGGAAGTTTAGTTAAAATAAACTGTTTTATAGGTGAGAAAGTGCTTAGAAAGCAGAATACAAGAAGAAGTTTTGAGGTCTTGAATCAATGAGATTGCTCTCTGGAAATTTCTTTTCAGATGCGAAATTCGTGAATCGAAAAAAATGAGTAATTCGCATATACGAAGTGAACCACGCACCTGCATCGGTAGAAGAAAGCGACTCATTTTCGAGTTCAAAATAACATTTTGAGCATGGATTGTGTGGTCGAATCACCGATGGTTTTGGAGAAGAGGAGAAGAGCCGAGAAGCAGGACCTCGCATCCTAAAATTACAAATTATATACCTTATGCAGATTTTTGCGTCGTTTAGTGCACTTTAGAAAGTTTTTATAAATAAGCGAGCAGAGTGAAGGAGAGAAACAGTAAAGAGAACGTTAAGAACCGGAGCGAACGCTTGGAGAAGTGACAATGGCAGGCGGCGAAGAAGCCTTTGTTCGCCGTTCTAATTCGACCAGTGATTAGGTCAATCATATGTGATATCATTTTGGGTATTCTATGCGACTTGGGTGTTTCAAAGTAACCGTCGATGAAGAACGATTTTTGCGAGTTTAAGAGGAGGAACAACGTGGGGCAGGCAATAATTAGATAATTTTGCTTAATTTTGAATTTTGAGTACTAGTACCAGGATCCAATTCTTTATTGTTGACGACGTAAATTTCCTCAAGAAAGCGGTAGCTCTAAGATGCCAGGAAGAGCC